AATTAATCATTTATTACCGAAATGATTTAAATTAGTAAAAGAGATAGTTTTCTTATTGGCCAAATCAAACTCTTACCAAAAAGGCTACTCATCACTGCAACGCGCTGTTCAAAAACAACAAAAAATGCAAAATACGTATTAAATAGTCACATAATTAACCAAAAAAAAAAACAGTAGCTTCAAAAGAGACAGAATAGTAAATGCTTGTACCTTCAATTTGTCCATAGCATCAGCGTTCTGTTCATGAAGCCGGTGCAGAATATTCAGATATTCGCGTTTATCATTACTACATTGCTGCTCCATTGATGCGATCTTGGACTGCAATGGTTTCGAACTCAAATCATTCATATCATGAGCTTAGCAACAAAACGAGCAACAGAAATTGTCTGATAAGAAAGAACATAACGATGAAACCGAGCAGCTAAACAATTATAAAATTATGATAAGCAAGCATTCTGTTACCTGAAATTGGTCGCTTAACATTTGCAGATTGCCGATTTCCTCTTCGAATTTCGTTTTCAAATCAACCACATCGAATTCGTCCTTGCCACCTGTCAACCGCCAAGCCAAACGTTCCACAAAATCAATTGCATCGAACGGCTCCTCAAGCAGAAAATTCTACATTATGTAACAGGATGCTGCTACCTGCTCAAACAATCTATCCTGAGATCATTAAGCGCAAAATCACGTCTTTTTTGGCTTGAGGGTACCAATTACGTTCGATTTTCCTTGCAAATTTTTCAGATGGAACTTATCCCAATCTGATGCAGTTTCTAATATGCGCTTGAGCAAATGCATCGAAATACAAACGGAATTCACGAATTTTTACTTCCGAGCATGCATACATTATCTTAAAAATTTTAAAAAAGCCCAACCCGAGCGAGAGTGCCACAATTTGCTCACAGGACTGTCGATGACTTCCTCTTCTTCAGAGTATTGTTTAAATAAAAATATATTTCGAAAGTAGGAAGAAGAATAAAAGAGAAAATAATATTCAGAAATTAGCATAATTACTTTATTAAAATTATTATAATGGTAAGAAACGTTTCGGTCCATTAAGTCGTTTACGTTTTCTTTTATCATTTACCATCAACTGGACCTTGTCAGTATGACGACTGTGGTAATTGTAACTTTTATGAATTTAAATTAAATTAGTTATGTTAACTTGTTGATAAAAGTATATGTTAGTTGAAGCAAAAAGTATTATATGTACTTACTAGTAAAAATACACTTATTAGTAAAAGTATATTTTAAAAGTTTAAAAGCAAGCTGATGGTGAGTCTGCTCCTCTGATAGAGTCAATTTATCATCGAAACGAATGAATAAATCATAAAAAAAGCTTATGTACTCGTCTGCATTGTGCAGTGGCAACTGGCATTGCGCATTACCTAGGACATGTAGCAAATGCAAGTAGGTGATAAATGAAAAGTAAAGAGAGGTACCTGCTCGAGATCCTCAACATAGGTCGAGAAATACTGACTCGTCATTGTGGCGACCGTCAAATTCGAGGAGCGTCTAAGTGGCGGTGGAAATGAGCAAATTCTTTTTGCTGGAAAAAATGTCTGTGATTTTAATAGTACAAACTGAAAAATACACAACGAAAAAGACTTTCCCTTGCACAAGTTAACAAATCCATTTATACGAGGCTTCGCAAGCCACCAAGAAATGCAATGAAAAACTCACTGCTGTCCCCGACCACTACAAACTTATTAGGGGGTAGCCTTTGCTGTAGGAGAAAGAAAAACGGGTCATGGCAAAAAAAAAAAAAATCTACACTACAATGTACACCACATCATTTTCAATCGCCCTTCAGCATTTCGCATCAGTTATGAGCAAAACTTCGATAATAGAGTAGCATATAAAATGCTGTCACTTTTATCATGCACATCGGAACAACGAAACTCACGGTACAACGAATGCACAAACCGTCTGTGTGCTGTGATTTCACAAACTGGCTTGGCTTAGTCGGATAGGTGTCCAGATGTGATAAAGATTATATGCCCATTCGAGAAGACAGACGTAGAGGTGGGTGATGAGGGAAGAGGCCACGAATGTTAAACTTAAATTACAGGGAACTGCAACAGAACGGAAAAGACTGGCATTTTGACCGAAAAGGAGCTGAGATCTTGCTTGGAGGGCGAAACTGGAGACACGAGTGGAGATTGCAGAGTTCATGCTTTATTAGATGCTTCAGTGAAAGATAAACGCACTGCGACTTTTGTGTACGATTATAGCACTTGGGTACGACTACGACTTCCGTCCCACAACCGAGTGCATTTCCCTCAAAAAGAGGCTGCTAAAAACCGAGAGAGTGCGCGCAGAATTACTGGAAACTGAAATACAACGCGCAGAGAGTGAGGGAATTGAGAGACGAAAAGATTGATAAAAATTGAGAGATAACACACAGAGATTGAAGTGGGGAACTGCGTGCAGAGATTGATAAGAAATGAGAGACCGTTTGCGGAGATTGCCAAAGTTAAAATGTATGTTGCTTCTTGGTACCACATACGAACATGTCGATGGATCAAAGGAACCAATGTAAGCACTAGACTGAGCCGATGACAAAAAGATAGTTTATTGTATGACATACTAACAGTGATAAGAATGATTAATTGGCAAATCAACAGAACTGGTAGGAGTAGGTCGGCTGTGGAAAGGCTCAGATGTTGAGGAATGATACTGAAGATACATGCGAACCCCCATTTATCACCCGTTTTATATGCTGATGTTCTTGTAACAGATATCACACATTACAATCCCCAAAATGGCCTTCATGCAAGATTCCAAAATGGCTGCCATGAGAATCAGCGATGGATTTTGTCGTCGAAGATTCAATCTACGATGGGAAAGTTGGTGAGGGAGAAAGTGGACTGGGGACGAAGAGTCGCATTCCTGCCGGAGATCCGATCTTCGATGGGAACATCATTTCCGGACGTTCAGCTGGAATGTTATCGAAAGATGACTCAGCTTTTACTTTATTTTTAAGCGTTTTTTTTGCATCTATGCAATGTAGAAAACACATACTGACGAGAGGGTTATCTGTGTGTATATATATGTATGTGTCTGTGTTCGTGTGTGCGCTGCGCATCCGTACCGATTTTTCATCTTGAGACCTACAGAAGTTACAGGGCTGAAACTTTGGGAACTTAATCTACATTCATGTACGGGTCCCCATCCCCAAAATGGGCGGTACTGCCCACGTGGTACCTAAGTACGGGCCCGTGAAATTTCTTTGCTGATAAGTCGCTAACTCGGGGACCAGAAAAGCTAGAAAGCTAAAATTTTACGGGAATGTTCCTCGTCCACGTAAGTCTTAATGAGCTTCAAACCAGTTCCCAGGTGTGCGTAGTACCCACGTACAGATCCACCTTCCGGTAATTTACTAACTCGAGAACATGAAAAGCTAGAAGATTGGAATTGTAAGGAGATGTTCTCCGTCCAAAAAGGTATTAAACAGTTCAAATCCAATCTTCGGGTATGCGTGGTACCCAGGTAAAGCCCGCCAAAGTTTTTTTTCGGGTAAGTTGCTTACTCGAGAACCTGAGAAGCTAAAAGACTGAAATTTTAAGGAGATGTTCCCGCCCACGTAGCTCCTAATGAGTTCAAATCTAGCCCCGGGAATGTGTGGTTAATATGTACGAGCCTGTGAAAGTTTTTTGCAGGTAAGTTACTAATTCGGGAACCAGGAAAAGGAGGAAGCTGAAATTTTACACGAATGTTTCCTGATAGTCCTGGTGGCCAGTCTGAAATTCTTTCAACTTGAAGCATTTGCCGGAAAAGCTGGTGCCGGTAGCGACAAAACTGCAGGGGACTATGCAAAAAACGCATCTTCAAACCGGCAGTCGGTGCGTTGGCCAATTATATAATTTTGATTATGGGAATGGGGTCAAGGGCACCGCCTTTACAACAAGAAATGAGAGACTTCGTACAAAGACTAATAAGCAGAGATTGGCGGAAAGTGTGGGGCGAGGCGCAGAGAGTGATGAGAGAATCAGCAAGCATAACTTGTGAGTGCGACATCAGGCAGGGTAAGGTCAGTGTGGATGGCTCTGTGCTTACAAAGCGCACTGCCTTATTCCGGCATCTGAGAGGCCTCATGAAAGCTAGTCGGAAGAGAGATTTATTGAGGGTTTAGCCACTCTTTTTGACGGTATTCGGAGGGGTTTTCTCCGTCAAGATTTTTCTGAGATATAGTTAAAGATTAGAAAAAGTGCAGAAATGAGGTGCAAGGAAATTAGGGTGCGCGGACTGTGCTGCTGCTGTAAGGTGTTTTTTCCCGAAACAAAAGCTTTTTTTCCTCCTCCACATCTGCGCAGCTGATTACGGCTCCCTCCTCTTCGTGCCTTACTGAAAACCAATTCTCCTTAAGTGGCTCTTTTTCCCCCGGGGGATTTTTGCTTGTCGATGCTCGAATCTGTGTGCTGCTGATGTCACGAGATGATGCAGAGTGAGTGCAACGTGTGCTGGTGGCAAATGCCCTCAATCATCATCGTTCGGATATCGATCAGAAGTTCGCCTTGCGCCTAACGCTACTTGGTGAGGAGGGCATTGCGGTGTGCGTTTGCATAGGCCACAGGTCAGTCGAGAGTGGTTTGGCACGCTACTCGTAAATGAAGACGTGGCTGCGGACAATTCATGGGAACAGTAAGCATGGAAACCGGTTTCCCCCTGGCGTTATGCCTGTACAGATTCATATTGTGATAGCGATGATCGCAGC